CTTTTTTTTGGGGGGGGGGTCCATCTCCTACTTTGGGAACCACTGGTCTCATCAATCAGGGAAAATCTGTCTTTTTTTTGTTGTGTCCTTTTCCATGTAGCATGAGTTCACGGTCACCAGAGTCAAAGTGCAGTAGCATCAAAATAACAGACACTCGTAACGTGTGAGAAACGACTAGAGTTCAATGCCTTTATTAGAACGTAATATTAACTAGGTGTTTAAGAAAACAGTGTCTCATTAAGTTAAATCCATTGACACGTGGTGTTGATGTTTTCTGTTGAGCTATATTTAAGTGTAAGGTTATCATTTAAATGCTTTTATTTTGAAAGTAAATTAATTTTTCTTGGCTGTTATTTATTGTTTTTGAAAAGAAAATTGAAGAGAAAAAAAAACAAAAAACGACGACCTTAAAATTTCTCTACATATCTGCTCCGACCGTGTGTTCACTCAGCAACAAGAAAGTGAAAGCAGGGACAAGTGTGAGCACGGCTCCGAGTCTGCACCTCCTGCACTTTCACTAGTGTGTGTGTGTGTGTGTGAGAGAGAGAGAGTGTGTGAGAGAGAAAGTGAGTGAGTGAGAGAGAGAGTGTGTGTGAGCTCTAACTCCTCTCTTCTTCCCTCTCACTCTGGTATCATGTAGCCTGTAGACAGCCCCCATTATCCTACTATTGCATTTAGTTGAGTGCCCCCTAGTGTCAGTCATTGGTCACTTCCTGCATGTGCTTGTTTGTAAATATACCAAATAAAACTGATCAGAATAAACCAAACCTCGGTTGTTTAAGTGGATTATTTATGACTACAAATGTTTTGATTATTTCTTGTCGTTTTTGTCTTTTTTTCCACCAGGTGGTGCTATAAACGCAATTCACACTCCACTGAACTAGTGCATTAGAACTGATTTCAAACAATTAGCTTGACTTCCAAGACAACAAATTAGCTATGACACCAAATAGAACGGGAAAATCCTTGTATTGTACAAATAGATGTATATAAATGTAGCCCCTGTTGGCCAACAGTGGTACTACTGCGGCTTTTATTGAACTTTGTTTTAATTGTCTATGTGTTATACTTTTTCTTTCTTGTCATTTTATTCCTTGTCCTCAGCGAGGCTAATCCTGCTAACCATCCCCAACGTTATTAGCTTTTTAGGCGACTAACTCTGACTCGCATTATTTAAAAATAAATGATCACCTCCAGAGGGCAGTAGTGACACTGCACTATATTCTTTAGGTTTTTTTTATTTTTATTTTTTTGTGTGATTCTAAGATTGTTTGGTGAATTCCTACATACTCTACCTTTTAAACTCCAGGGGGAGTCCTCCAGGTGATTCCTCTGACTTCTGTGTTTTAATGAAAACGCCTCTTGTGGTGAGTCAGATGAAGGACAGAGCGGGGAGAATAAATCTCCCCCAGCGAGTCCCGTCCTGTTACCGTGTTCGTTTTTTTATTTTTTATATAGTGTCCTTTATTGTGGGTCATTATGGAGGACATCACAGGGCGGGATGTGCAACATAACGCCACTAGGTAGCACTGTTAGCCCAAGCTGATTAACACCACTGCAGCACAAACAGACATCAGGAGGCTTCACCACTGACGCAGTCCTCTGGGTTTAGTACTAGTGGACATAAAATGCTGTTTATTATTTTTGGATACAGAGCTGACATGTTATGGCGATGACTTATTACTGTGGTTTTTTTTTGTTTGTTTTTTTAACGTTTTGTTTGCAGATGCACATTATCGAGAGGCGACAGGCAAAGGTTACGTGTCATGCAGACTAGATAAATAACTCTTTTGTGTGCACCTTTGCTATAAAGTTAATCATCCACTGGCAATAATGTAGTGCTCTTAGTTAAAAAAGGAAAGAGGAAAAATATACATACAGTATGTAAACAGTCAAAGAAATTGCACTTTTTTTTTTGGCTCGTTATTAGAAGCCACACTACTGAAAGAGAGCGAGGAAGTCAACACTGCAAAAAACTAATTCACTGCCACTGATTGTCCGACCAATTAGAAAAGAACACACGGCTACAAAAACAAACAAAAGACAAATTAATGTAAGTCTACAAAAACAAATACAATCATAGTCAGTTTGAGAGATTAATGTCAGTTATGATGGTCAGCTTTAAAAAAAAAACTAACAAAAAACAACAACAAAAAAAAAGAACAATCTTAGTAAATGAAAAGATCCGATAACTACCTGTAGGTATAATCCCAATAATGATGTCAGGTATACTGTAATACTACTGTTACACACAAGTGCTGTCTGCAGAAAAACACGCCCCCCTCTGACTCTCTACGCACGTTACATTCACGTCAAACTAAATGCTTCCACTTCCACTACGGGGAGAGGGGTGGGGGGTGAGGGGGTCAGACCCCCGGCACGGTCTACTATGTATTTGTACATTTAAAAAAAAAAAAAAAATGACCACAAATCCTTAAATATTCACAAATAAAAAAAAAGAAGAGAGAGAGAGAAAAGACGTAACAAAAGGAAAGAAGGAAGTCCTTCTGTAGATCTTACCAGAGGAGATATTGCTTAAAGACTGCATCAGATCGATTAGGTACAGTATGTACACAAAGAGACAAAATGGCACTTCTTCAGAGCATTTTGGGGGGGGGGGGACTCGGTTTTCTTCCCCCCAGGGTC